CATGTTTGGTCCTGGAGGGCCACTATCTCTCATGTTTGGTCCTTGAGCGCCACCATCCCTCCTGTTTAAGTTGGTTCCTTGCTCTTCAGCAGGTCTTCAAGTTCAGCAGAAACCTGTTAATTGCTCATTCATTCAAATCAGGTTTGTCAAAGCAGAGAAACATCTAAAACATGCAGGACAGTGGCCCGCGAAGACCAGGATTAGACACGACTGGCTTAAACTCTGATCAAATGAGTCCTTCCATCATCGCGAGCTTAAACCCAACAACTCAAAGAGTAACTTCTAAAATGTGGTATCTCACTGCGCTGTGACTGCTGGGAGTCTGTTGAGACTCAAAATTGTGAGAAAATACACATTTCCATTGCAGCTTCTTTGAATTCTGTGTTTGTGATCAGGTTATCAGCAAGCCAAGCAGCAACATTTTGACAAGCACTTTAAAAAAAAAGCCTATTTTTGTGTGCACAACTTGCAAATCTGTATTTCTAGGCAGTGCACATTATTTCTCTGCCCACATTGTACCTGCCTCTACCTGCTCTGTATCCACCTTGGCAGCCAATTTTATATGGTGCAGCTGTGGCTGAGTGGTTAGAGCAGTCGTCCTCCAGTGGAAGAGTTGGGGGTTTGAATCTACCAGCAGTCATACGTTGAAGTGTTCCTGAGCAAGACACCGAACAGTGTACTGAGCAGTGGACTGAGTGTTGAAGGATCTTTTTCACCTACTGGCTGGTTTGTGGAGTCTCCACCAGGTGGAGCAGTGGGCAGCTACTGAAAGACCCGGGGAGCAATTAGGGATAGGGTATCCTGCCCAGAGACACCACGAGATGTGTAATGACTGGGGATCAAACCTGGGACTTTCAGGTCCTGAGTCGGCTGCCCTGCCTCTACACCCCCCCCCCCCACAATAAATAAATAAATAAAAGAACGAGAACAAAACTGATGAGTTCAAACTCACGTGGCAGAATATTCAAACAGTCCATAGTACGGGTTAAACATCTCCTTGGACATGAGGAAGAACCACTCTCGGGCCACACCACCATAGTCCAGTCCTTTCTCTCCATCGAACTCCACCCAGAGCCGAGCCTTCAGCAGGTCCGGCCTCTTAACTGCGAGGATGCGTCGGTACGAGTCCTCCAGCACTGTACTTCGTTTCAGCTTCATCTCAAAGCGGTTTGGGATGTCAGCCTTCGTTAGAAAAATAAACACAGTGCTACATTTTCATGCACATGTTCAAAGACAGAGATCTCACCTGTGTTAGCTTCAAGAGAGACTCACCGGCTTCTTCAGCTTCTTTCTGAAGTATTCGTACTTCTGTTTATAATCTCGAGAGTAAGGCACGACCTGCAGTCAACAGGTTAGAGTTACACGACAGGAAGTTGGTCTAAATCTCCTGATCCACATTGTGGAAGAGGATAATTCTTTAAAGGAACATTTGAAGCCATCAAAAGACATCTATTATTATTAATGATGCATTATTTTACTGTGTATGCTCACCGGTCCAGTTATAGCTGGGGTCTGTAACCTGGGATCATCCCACTGAGTGTTCCTGGTGTCTGTGAAATAAAACGTGTGACATCATTCACTAACAAGAACATTTATTAAATATTGCACGAGTCCAAAATAAAACTCAATGCTTTCTTTAGCATTTTAGGTATACTCACTGTGATCTATGTAGAATATTCTCCCATCAGTGTGGACTCTTTCTTCCCAACCAGGCTGCGAGCAAACAAAACACAGTAGATGATTTTTACACCCATGTAACCACCAGAGTTAATCCATGTCTTCAAATTGATCCAAATTGATTTTCAATAACAGATGAATTTACTGGCAGAGGACCGAGGTCCGCCGGGTCGAGAGAGGCTGCCCTCCTCACTTGCACAGGAAGCTTAAACCTGGGGTCTTCCTGTTAGGATGAACACAAACAGGAAGTGCAAGGTTGGAGGAAATGCACAAAAATGTGTCAATTTACTGTTTTGTATCGTCTAAGACGGGTCTGCAACCTTTTTGATCAAAAGAGCCATTACTGCCCGTTTGCTCACTAAATAAAATGTGTCCGGAGCTGCAAAACCTGTGATCATCAACTGATGGCCCATGGGCCACTTTGAGTTTGTTGGAGGGGAGCTTTTCTGGGCAGCGGGTGTGACGTAACAAAACAAAAAATACATGATTTATTGGTATTTTTACATTTTAGTGCAAACAAGCATATCATGTAAAGAAAAAAATAGTTTATACCTATTTTGATAAAAAATAAAACACTGAACTCTGTGGACTCCTCCTTTTAAACCTTGCTTTGAAAATGACCCCAAATTTCCAGAAAAACTAAAACAAATGGTTTTCAAAATTTCCAGTTTTTTTTCCCCCAGATGTGTGGAAGTACGTGAAAACACATAAAAGTGTCTTGTGTGCTACTTTCTCACCCAGGTGGTCGTCTTTGTGTTGTGGTTGATGAAAAAGGGCCTTCCGTTGGGAGCACTGCGGACCTCCCAGTCACTGGGTAAGGAGTCAGATTCAGCTGCGACCTCACTGTAGTTCTGCTGAGGAGGCTGATCGTGCCGAACAGCTGGCTGTGGTGGTGAGAAGCTTTGAGATGTGCCTGCTCCACTAGGTGATGCTGCATCGGGAGATCTCTGTCCAACAAAATGACACAACACGGTTTAGATGATTACAGTACACAGAATTTAAAATAAAAAAGAAAGACTCATCATTATTTTCTTATTAATGGGCAGCAACAGTTGCTTCTGATGAAGTCCCTCTTTGACATCGTATTAACCCAAACCTGAACGCTCCAGATGAACAAACTGCAGACTGGTTTTGTAGAGGCACTAAAACTTGCTGGTACTCAGATAATCAAGTGCATTTCATAAGAAACACTTAGCTGCTGCTTCTCCTTGTTCCCGAGTAGTTTATTAGGGGGAGGTTATGACACACTGCATTTTTGTTTTATCTTAAATTTTGTAAAACAAACAGCAACACGGCACATTTGGACAGGTTTGCTATCATTTGAGATTATTTTTATCCAATTTACTACAAAGACCGGACATTTCAATGCCAACGAGTGAGTGGTAAAAATATACAATTATACTACATAATATACAGTAATATAACCACTAGATTTAATTACCGTACTTGCTGCCGTAAACATCGCACCGCCGTATAAGTCGCATCTATTATGCATCACCGCTGACAACACAGAAATGTGGGTCGGTGTTGTGCCAGAAATCAATAGGCTGCCAAATGGTGGCTGCGGGAGCATGCACGGGAGAACTTTAACAATAATTGAACAAGATTATAGCAAAGGTGTGTCTCAGTTCAACTTTTCCTTAATAAATGCACTTTGATGGTCAAATCAGCTGCATTTCGCCTGGGCGGTGCGGTGAAATGCAGCTGATTTGACGTTTGCTCCAGGAGTACCGGAGCGAGATGAAGGTGGCTTGGTATGGCAAGCCAAGTGTCTCATTAATAGCCACTTTCACCTATTAATGAGACACTTGGCTTGCCATATTGGTCAAGGGCTCTCTAGTGGCTGAAAATGGAAGTGTTCAATATTTTCCATGTCAGAATGAATGAAACTGTCAGGTCTCAGCTACAAATTGGGTTATAAATATCGGGGGAAAAAACAAATGCGTCGCTTCGCTGTATAAGTCACAGGCATGCTAATTTATGCAAAAAACTGTGATTTATACAGCGAAAATTATGGTATATCGCACAACGTGCAAGTCCAGTTTTATGAAAAGTGTTATGTACCTGAAGAACAGGACGAACCCACGTAGTGGTTCGGGTGTTGTGGTTGACAAAGTAGCGTCTTCCTTTATTGTCCCTCTTCTCCTCCCAGCCTGGAGGTAAGTTAGTTGAGGTTGGAAGCAACTATTGAAAGATTGAATATGGTTATCTGCACTGACAACTTCAATATCAATCAAGGCTTCTAGTTATTTGAAATTTATCAAAGAAATATATTAAAAGCTGTAAAAAAAAAAAAAAAAAAAAAAAGTTTATTGGAAGCATTGTCCCCCCCCCCCACATTACCACAAGGTGGTGGAAAACAGGTTTGATAAAAGTGGAAGGAGTGATTTCAACAGAGAAGGACGTTCTCACCACAGGATTAACAGGACTTTCCTCTCCAGCTGCAGCCTGAGCACTTTCTCTGACACTGGAATGGTTTGAGTGACTCATGTAATTCTGTAGCAAAGGACACAATTTGACTCAAGTCATTAACAAGCATGTATTTTTCCACCGCTCATCTAACGCTACGCTTATGGTTCACAATAATCTGTTTATGGCTTTTACTCTCGTGATGTTCAGTAACGGGAAGCTCAACACTTCTCAGAGGACGACTCACACTTTGGGAGGTGCGGCGCTCTCTAGCTGGAAGCCATGGCTCCTGGGACGAAGGTGACATGATGTTATTTCTGTGATACAAAGTGGACTCGTCTTCTGTAATGATCTCCCAGCTCTGAAACTCGAGCGAGAGACTTTAGGATAAGAACTAGCACATTAGAAGTGGACATACGGTCTGATAGGTTACATTCGTCATCACTGACTACGTATCCCCCCCATCAATTTACACATGCAAATCTAATTCTGACCTTTTGGGAAGGTTAAACAATTTTCATTTAAAGTAATACTTCATGTCTAATAAAATCCTTCCCCCCCCCCCCCCCCCCCCCAATTTGCTCAGTGTTTAGTCCTGTTCTATTTAGGTTACCACTGTGTTTACAGCTCACTTCTGCGTATTGTATTCCGTTTGGTGCTACGTGAATAATGCAAAGTTGGTCTTTTTTCAAAAGGTTCGTTTCCAAATAGTGTCTTCCAGATAGAAATATGATCACAAGTGCAGTGACAATACAAAATAAAACTGAAGAACTTTATACAGCGGAGATGTTATTTTACAACTTTAGACAACATTAAAAGTGCTTTCTCTGCTTTCTAAGAGATAAGCTTTGAAAACCAAACAACAGCCATTCTTTAAGACGAGGTGAACAGGTGAAGGAAGGTCTGAGCATAAAGCAGAAACCTGGTGTTACCTCTGAAGACTCTTGTGTGGCGTTTTCATCGTGGTCTGAAATTTGTCTGCGTGTAATGAAGGGAAGCGCTGCGTCCGTGTTATTGTTCTGTCTTCTCTGAACTTCGACGTCACTGTCTCTGTTTCATCAAACACACACAGAACCAGTCATCAGGAACGCACCAAACATAAAATAATGTGACTTGCTGGGACATGCAGAGGCGTGTCCTACAGTGTTGTGGGTCGCTGCCACTGTGTGGTTCTTCTTTCATGATTGACGTAGTAGATTCTTCCCAGGTTGTCCTGACGCTCCTCCCAGCCAGGAAGCAGAGGAGGCAGTAGCTGGCTTTGTCTGGGACCTGACATGTCCTGAGACTCCAGAAGCTCCCAACCAGGCTGCAGACCAACACAAACACAACAGAACTCACTTTAAACTGCAGGGCATGTTGGATGGTGATGAGATCCTGACATAACAGTTATTTGAACACATCAACAAAGTTCATCTGAATAGATGGCAACAAGGGGATGCACAAATGTCTATTTAAGACAACTATTTCAACACTTTTCTGCTAATGCCATGTAAGAAATGACTGAGGTGGCGTGAAGAGTATAAGTTTATCCATCGATACAACCATGAACAAGCAGCAGGGGTAGTCACAGTGCTGAGTTGGCGAGTACCATATTTTCTGCTGTACACATCACTTCGCCCTATAAGTTGCATCGTCCAAATATGTCTAATAAAGTGGAAAAATCCATAAATACGTTGCATCTATTATTATGCATTATCCAGGCAGACGACAGTGGCAGGCTATGGCAAGCAGACTGTGTCATTAATAGCCACTTTAACCTATTACATGATACAATGGCATGCCATGCTGAAAATTGTAGTGTTCAATATTTTCAGTCAGAATGAATGAAAACGGTCACATCTTAGTTAAAAATTGGTTTATAAATATGGGAAAAAAATCCACAAATACGTCGCTTCGGCGTATAAGTTGCAGGGCATGCAAATTATGCAAAAATAACGTGACTTATACAGCGAAAAATATGGTAAGTGCAAAGTGGGGTGTCAGCGTGAACGATGCTTCAATCTAAATACTACAGGTGGGAGGTAAAACCTCACTAATCAACGTTATCTTTTTAATATGACATTTTCAATAGACATATGAGATATGAGGCTCCTGGTCATAAATTTGCACAACATTAAATTCAACATGCAATTAGTGTGTTACCTGAAGCAACTGATTCTCAAACAGAATTAGACAGTTTAATAATGAGCAGGTACCACAGCTTCTATTAGATGCTGAGCTTCATTAAAAATGAAACCTTTTCTTATAGCTTGGTCTGGATGGCATTCAAGGTTAATGTAAGAAAACAGTTTACTCTCATTTTAAGATAATATTGGGTTGTCCTTTGTGTTCTGGGTGACTGTCATCAAAATGTGCAATTGGACTTTTGGATACTAAGCCAAAGGCTCAGAGTGCAGAATGAGAGTGAGCTGAAGTCAGTCAAACAATTTGATTCATGATACCTTCAATACAACACAGGCTGAGGTTTGTTTTAGGGATGCACCGATCCACTTTTTTCACTTCCGATTCGATACCGATATCCGGTGGCCTGGTATCGTCAGATACCGATCCGATACCGATTCATACATATAAACAGTATCAATATCATCATCATTATTGATTTTATATGAGGCTGTAATAATCTCCTCTCAAGTACAATTTGTACAAATCTATGCATGCATGTCCAAAAAGGCAACTTGAGGTAAGTTTTATTAATGTTGGATAAGTTTTAAAGTTAGAATTAAATTCTGCTAACACAAAACATGTTTGTTTTTATTCCTAGCTTTAAAGTGGATATTAAAGTGATTAATTTAAGTGATTGTTTAAAGTTATTTTATATTTTTTTAAATAAGGGGCAGATATAAGATTTCTCTTCTTTCTGCAATCTTTTCATTCAATGTTTTCTTTTTGATTAATTTGTTTGGTTTCTTTTAAATGAACGAATAAATGAATTAAATAAAATAAAATGTTAAATGGCTTTAAACATCTGCTAAGTTCACGGCATAAACCAACAGACATGTTCCTGCTTTTTTTTTTGTTATTTACATCACTTTATAATGCAGCTGTTTTCTTGTAATTTTCAAATCATATGTTTTTTAATGATTGTCTACTGTTGTACTGATAAATATCTCCTGGAGGGTAAACTACAGTATATCTTGGCTGCAAGTATCAAGCTATGAAATCCTTCATTTTCTACAACTGATAGTGGTTGGCCATTAATTATGAAGTTTAGCAACTTCTCAGTAAACATTCGAGCTCCGGGGCTTCAGCGATGTCTTCTTCTTGTTCAGTCTGAAGCAAGCAGTCTGATTTTGGTCAGCCGCGCTCAGTCTGCCCCTCCTCGGAGACGGGCAGATTGAGCGGGGCAGATTGGACGCGGCTGGCTGGGGTCGGGCTGCCTGCTACGGGTTCAGAGAGAGGAGCAGACCCCTGAAGACACGGAGCTCGAATGTCCAACGTAAAATTAACTTTACCGCGGTTTAATGTGGCGCTATGGCTCTGCAGACATTGCACGTTGCCGTCTTGTTTTGTGGTGTTTCTACTGAAAAATGTTTCCACACAGCGGACATGTTTAGATGAAAAGTTGGTTAGCTGTTAGCCACAGTGCTGCTAACTCAGCCCTCACGTTGTAGCTGGCTGCAAACTACGAAATGGATTTCCTGAATGTGAGGCGGGTCTTATTACTCTGGGTTCATGAGACGCCTCCGTTCAGGAAATCCATTCCATAGTTTGAAGCCAACATGCATCATGGATCGGAAATCTCTGCAGATTGGATCGGAAAATGGATCGGTCACATTGTCACCGATACCCGACCCAGAAGTTTTTCGGATATCGGTACAGATACCAATATTGATATCGGTACAGATACCGATATTGATATCGGATCGGTGCATCTCTTGTTTCCAACAAGGTGGGTTAAGCATCAACTTACATCCAAGTCCTCAGTCTGATCTGCCGGTTCTTCTTCTGAGCCTGGGTTTTTTGGCAGGTAGGTCATTTTGAGACGCAGATGACCTTTAACCCTGGATTTATGGCTGCGCAAAGAGAAACAGACCAAAACTACTGACTCAACCTCGTTAGATTCATCTACCTGGATTATTGAGCAGCATCAGGACAAACACATCAAAAGTTTTAATGGAAGGAAGAATTTTTGACAGGAATGTTAAAAGATGCTGATAAATCATTTCCCCTGATTAAAAACAACTATAAATGAGAAATGGAATGTTAACAGGTAAATGAAATGAAATGCACACCTTCGTGGGTGGAGCAGAAAATCCTTGAATGTGTATGGCCTCTCTGTGTTAGGATTTTCCGTCTGAGAGAAACAAAAAACAAAAAGCTTTAATTCTACAATGCATCATTTTAATATTTAAACTGCTTGACAATATAACCGTTGTTTAAAATAAATAAAGTGTTATTTTAAATGATAGTGGCAGCTCATTAAAGTATATTTGTGGTTGCTGTATTTATAATTAAAAAGCTTTAAAATTAGAAAAGCTTTGCAGAGAGTGGTGAAGGCTGCACAGAAGACTGTTGGAGCCAGCCTCCCCATCATCACAGACATCTACACCTCCAGATGCAGGAAGAGAGCCACCTGCATCACGAAGGACCCCACTCACCCAGCACACACACTTTTTGCCCTGCTCCCCTCAGGCAGGAGGTTAAGGAGAATTAAGTGCTGTTGTTCGGCATATTGTTTTTGTGCTACTAGTGTGTAGTGTATTTTTAGTTTAACGTTTTTCTTAGTTCATATCTTAGATCTTATTACTGTTTTTCTTTTACATTTTATACATTTGTTGGATGTAACTGGGACCCTGTGTACACAACTTCGTTCCACCTCATGTACCACAAGTCATGCGAATGACAATAAAGAACCTTGAATCCTTGAATTAGACATAAGCAGCAACATAAACATGAACGAGTGTTTCCAAAACTACAGACAAGATGTGGAACAGACAGCAGAATCAGGGTGCTGGTGTTTCTGTTTACATGAAGACACAGGTGAGGCTGAGGGTTCGAACAGAAAACATACTTCATTTGTCTTTAACAAATAAACGATGGATAACGGAGCTTGTTTTATGAATTCAAGAACATTCAAGCAAGTTGGAGGATGATTTAATCAGCTGTAAAACGTTATGAAGGGCTAATGTTGACAAATCTTGATCAATTAATCTTCCACTTTGTATCTAAAGTTGTGCTCATTTGGATGTTTTTGCATTTTATTGTTAATTGCATGTTCTGAACATGTAAAACATGGTTCATTTGTGTGTTTATTGTATTTCTGAACGGATACCCAATGATCTTGTCCTTGTTGCAAAGGACTATTTTAATTAGCACGTGTCAAACTTTTCAAATGAACAATAATCAAAAATAAATTTGAATTGGGTTTAATTTATACATTAAACAAAAGTAAAAAACTAAAATTAAAAAAACTTACCGGTATCTGATTTAAGGGGACGTCCACCTGTCCGAGGAAATCATCCCGTGTCTGACAGGAAGAAAGAAAAGTCACACAAATGTTAAAATCACGACAATATTCTCCTCTACATTGGCACTCAAATGTTTCTTGCACTGCTCCCTTGAGAATATGTAAAACAATGTAATATAAAAAAATAAGCATGCTGTGTAATATTATTCAGCTTTGCGTTTGTGAAAAACATCTTGAAAAAACTCTCACTTTTACTACTTTATAACTGGATGATTTTATACAGGATTCTTACACATTTCCCGTTTCACATTTTAAGACTTCTCCAGACTCAAATGTTTAATTTGTTCTTACAATTTTTAAGCTAATTTTAGAAAAGTCAAACCTGTCCTGTTCGCAGACTGTAAACAAAAGATGAATAATAGAGAAAAACACTTTTGAAAGCCTGTTTTTAATAACGAGTTTATGTTCTTAAGCAGAGAGGCCTTCTTTAATACAACGTTTGGTGTATTTTGTAAGAAAAATGTTCCAGTACAGAAGCAGATAACCAGCTGGAACATATTGTGAGTCGCGACTGACATAAAGTACAACCAAAACAAATGATATGCATTTATTTAACGCATCTATAAGCTTAGTTTGGACTTTAAAGAATGAACAAAAATTATACTTGTGGTTATATTTTTTATACAGTATTTATTATAAAGTAACCAAAAAAGCACTCTGCTTGTGTGCATTTTTTAGTAATGTTGCTATGTTTAAAAAAAATAATTAACTGGGAAATCAGTCTTAAGTTTCATGTTTGTCTATACTTATTTTCTCTTTCTTTACTTACTCAGACGTGGAAAACACTAAAAGCAAAATCCAAACTTGTTTGTAACAAACCATCATTAGCTATTACATCAAACAGAAAACATTTCTCTTAGCAGAAACACCATTTCCCCATTTTCAAACCATGAGTCACTAGACTTGATCGCTATCACGCACATGCACGCACACACAAATGTGTTTAGTAAATGACTGCGCTGTGTTATTGTTAGAGAGGCTGTGATCAAAATATCGTAGCATTTGCCAGATAAACCAAATCCCTGCGTTGTCTGGAAAACAGTCGGTCGACGCTGCGCAGCGGGAGTTTGCTGTGAGCCCAAATCAACACGCACAACAGGTCAGACAATCAAACTGGGGTGGAAGTGTTTCTGATGGGAGGCCTTCTTTGACCTTAATCCTCTTTGCTGCCAAAAAGCAGACGTTTAAAAACTACAACTATGTCACAAGTGACCACTAAACGTTCACTTTAATAGCAATATATTCAAGATATGCAGTGTTTCCACTACCATTACACAAGGAGGGCACCCCACCCTGTCTACCGACCCCCACCCCACAATCAGCAACTGCCGGCACTGATGTAGCGCTAAGCTAGCTGTGCGCAACACAAACGCGCTAGCTAAAAAGCTACAGAGGTGACGCTCCGTTTCCCTCGCGCTGACCCCCACCCCCAGTCGACAAAAACCATGGAAGACAAGAGCGCCCTGCCAAGGCAAGTAACCTAAGGGAGAAACTGATATGTATGCTTAATTATTGTATTATATTAGCAATATTTATTTTCCCTGGATTTTATTTTAGTAAACGGCATTTCCAGAGTGCAGCTTCATGTTTTCGCACCGTTTCCTTTACTTAAAGCTCTTAACAACTGGACTGCATACGACACACCATACACCTTTGACAAACTATTATACAGCAACCAATAGCAACGGACCAGACAAAGACCTTGCATAATATTTGACCTTGAAGCTGGGGTGATTACAGCGTACACGACAATCCATCTAGTGATGATACACGTGTGTGAAGTTTATTTAAATTATCTTGACTGGATCAAAAGTTTTGGGCCAGACAAGACAAAGTTTACGGACGATCAAACGGAGAATAAACCATAATACGTCCCGCCTTCGACAGAGGTATAAAATACAAGCGTTCAAAGGATTTATCTGCACTGAGCATCAATAATACCAGTTTTATTCATTTACGATACACTGAACACAAGCTGAGTACATGAAGTGCTCTTTAGATGTGGCAGCAAAATGAGCCAAATAACTAAGATTTACCAGACTGAGGTGTTTATGGTAGTTTAAGAAGCTTGTAGAACATTATGTTACAGTAATTAATGTGAAAAGAACAAAGAACTTTACACTTTACAAGATATTAAGGCATAAGTCAGTCATTAACTAGTCTGATGAACTAACACTAAACAGCTAAGTCAGGTCGTCTGGACAGATTCTTCTGAATATTAAAATAATATAAATCATACGTTATATTCTTGTCATTAGGTAAACCTCTAACTAACTGAATAACGTCTCAACAGACCCGCTTCATGGTTTGGTTCTGACTGTAGACTTCCACATATACACAGTAGATTATGAGGAAATGGTTTTTGAACACGTGCTGTTCAGTCCCTCTAGTACAGTTCCACAGACTTATAATGCAAATAGAATATTGTGTATAATAATTAATAATGCCAAGGTGCAATTAAGCTGCTTTGATGGTATGTCAAGACAATAACTAATCAAGGCACATTGTTTTTCCTTTAAATGATCATTTAGCTGGACAAGTAAACATTTAACTATGAGAACAATCTGTGACAAGCCTTCAACAGCTGTCCAGTTAGACATGCTTTCAATAAAACTGCAGAATGACTTGGTTCAAAAACCATTAGATACGTTAACCCCCCAATTATTTTTTTAATATCAGTAACATATGCTGCCCTTCAGACTTTTCCAACAGACTGCACCATCTTTTTCTTGGAAACTCTGGACAAATAAAGACTGGCCAAGTTAAAACGATAATGACAGATAAACGTCTACTTAGAGCTTCCCTGAAGGTTCAGGTGACACTAAAGGCAGCTCAGTTTAGCATGTGGCATTAAGGGCTGCTCATATACTCCGAGGCTGTGTCAAACAGAAACATGTGGAGCAAGCTCAGAGTTTTCCATCTTACATATGCAACGACAAACTGCTTCTGACAGGTGGGCAGCAGCTTGGGGAAAGTTTGACACTGGTGTCAGGATGTTTACAGTGGCGGCAGAGTGAAGACAAACTCATTAACAGTTTAAGAAGTTCTTGTTTGTTAAACTACACCTTTTTTTTCCTAAACTTGTGAAGAATGTATAGTACAAACAAAAACTATTTTACATCCAAACGAAAGAAAGGTCACATTTTTCCAGTGCGAACACAAATCTCTCAAATTTGAGAAGTTCAGGTTGGCATGAAGCATGAACAAGGGTGGGAGGACACTTTTCTGACTCTTTCCATAATAAGGGTGATGTCTCTAAAGAACAAGGTATTAATGAAGGAAGCCACAGGGCTCTAACCTGATGGAGCAATCCAACCACAGCAGGAACAGCCACATCAACATCATTAACAGTGTCCATTCAAAGTATTCACTCCCTTGGATATATTTTGCTTTTACTGCTGTCATAAATTAATCATGATCAATAGAAATTAGCAATTTTGACTAGAACAACAAAAACAACTTTAATGTACGTAAATATTCACCCCCTCCACATCAGAATGAGAACCTTTGGCTGAAACCCATCACCGAGTCCGAGTGGATACGTCTCACGTCAGTCTTACACATCTGGACACGTCTGCTCAAGCTCTGTCAGCTTGTGTGGGAATCAGGCATGAGCAGCCCTTTATTATGAGTCTGGCCACAAATTCTCTGCTGGAGTCGAGTCTGAGCTTTGAAGCGACCAGTCCAGAACATTCTTGTCTTTAAACAATTTCTGTAGTTTTACCATTTATGCTTCGCATCATTATCTTGCTGGAAAATAAATCTGCCAAGCTGTAGTTCGTTAGCGGACGGCAACCGATTGTCCTCCAGGACTTATCTATAACTTGAAGCATTCATTTTACCCAATATCTTTACAAAATTTCCAGGGCAAGCTGCTGAGAAACTTCCCCATGAGATGATAATTTCACCACCATGCTTCACAGAGGGGATGAGAAGTTTGTGATGATGCACAGAATTATGTTTCTGCCAAACACAGCTTTTCTTGTCTGACGGACAAAAAAAACTCTGTTTCATCAGACCCCAGAACGTTCATTCGCTTGATCAAGGTCTTCCACGTGCCATTCGACAAATTTCTGCGAAGATTTAATAAATTTTCTTCAACGATGACTCTTTTTGCCTCTTGTTCCGTAAAGCTTATACTGGTAAAGAACCTGGTCAACAGTTGTATGTACAAATTGAAACTCCTTGAGGGTGGCGGCAGGTGTCATTGTGGCCTCTCTCACTATTCTCCTGGCACAGTTACAGTTTGTGAGGACTTGTGAGGAAGATTTACACATGTTTCATATTCGGGATATATATTATATCGGTCCCATACATTTGGGGCCAAGATGCGGTAGAGGCAGGGCAGCCAACCTGGGACCAGAAAGTCGCAGTTCGACTCCCAACCATTCCCACATGTCGTGTCTGGCCAAGACACCTAATCCCTAATTGCTCCCCGGGCACTCAATAGCTACCCGCTGCTCCACCTGGGTATATCCCAGGTGCGATGGGTCAAATGCAGAGAACTAATTTCGCCATTGTATAGGAACATACAATGATGACAATCTCAAGACTTCCCTTCCCCTATTCCTTCCATTTCTTGGTGATGGATTTAACAGAAGTCCCAAGGATATTAAGAGCCTTAGAAATCCTTTATCTATTCCATGACTTGTATTTCTCAATACTATTTTTATCCGAGTTGCTTGGAGTAGTCTTCAAGGTGTAACAATATCCAGGAATACTGATGAACCAGTCACTAGACCTGTCAGACACAGGTGTTCTTATACTGTAATCACGTCACACATCTACCGTCTTCAGGTGGTTCCCATTTCTTGAGCTGTGAGACTATTGTGGCTGGAGCTCTGTAGAATTAGGACAGTCACTTTAAAGGGGTGAATATTTATGCAATCACTTATTATAAATTACATATTTTATTGACTTGGCATTAAAGTAGTCCCTCGCTACTTGGCGTTTTTTCAACGATTGCCAACTAGTCAAGACTCAAGTGATTGGGATGTTGAGGGATAAAAATTTAACGAAAAAAAACTTTTTGTAGTTTTTTCAATAAGCCTGCACTGTAAGACAAGTCAAAAGAACTACACTACCCAGAAGCCAACAGTACTTCCAGCTGCTGCTTTCTGCCGAAATGGAGGGAAAGTTTTGTATCGCAAATCTACACTATCTGTTAAACTCACAGAAGTGGCAGGAAAGTTGCAAATAATCCTGAAGCTCAATTATCCACGTGCACATCAACCTGGACAGGGCGGTGGGCTTTGTCACTGCAAGGTAGGTCTGCTGGACCAGAACAGAGCTGCTGTTCTGCAGAGCTGGTGAGTAAAATGTTGCAATACAGTACAGTATATATATATATATATATATATATATATATATATATATATATACGTATGTTGTTAAAATTATGTAGGTTTAAGAGTTTAGAACTTTGCAAGAGTGTGGGAACATTTTATAAAGCCTTAATATTGAGGGGGTGTTTGGAGCGTAACCCCCGCGATAATCGAAGTACTACTGTACTTTGTAGAAATCAACTTATACTTTGTCACTAAAATTATTTTATATCAAAAGTCCAATTTATGTGGACACCTATTTATTTATGACAGCAGTAAAAAATATAAAACATCCAAGCAAGTGTATACTTTTCAAAAGGCACTGTATGTTCAAAAATATTAAAAACATTAGACTTTGTACAGAAGCCAAAACAACTCTTATGAAAAGATACTCCAACACAACGAGAATTAGAATTTAAACAAAACAGCAGAAATTAGCCCTGATTCATGTTTTCCGCCTTGGTTGAGTAACAAGTTGCACCTAGTTGTTCATTAACTTGAGTTAGGCTGAATATGTGGTTATAAGAGAAAACTGATAAGGAGATGTATGATGGAACACTGTAACAATTTAATGACTAATGAATTAAGGAACAAGTGGAAAGACATTGTTAAATAGTAAAAAAAATTAAACAGCTGATTAAAATTACTTTGTAATAATCAGAGGTAGACCCTCGTTTGACAACCTGCTAAATGCAGGGGGAGACTGACACCTGATCTTTAACAAACATTGCTTGGTAGGGGGACCCACAGGGAAGTTAACCCACCACCCACTTACTGGGAAAGGATACGCTCTCACACAACATGCCTGCAGATGGCTGGCATGACTGTGCGCTGCTCTAGTATCATGCTGTTAAATTTGAATCCATGGGTTTTAGGTAGTGCTACAGACCAGCAGACTATCTGGAGTCAGGGTGAATATTTCAGAGACACCTTATTTATATCAGCAAGGGGCACTGCGTTTCCACCACTAAAAATAGCCACAGTAAATACTTGGGTTGAACATTCATAGTGCTAACAAAATAATTAAAACTGAGAACTATTCTATAGCTGACTTTGTACAGATTAGACCCACAAGATGGAGGGGATCCTGTCCTGCAACTTACACATTTCTTGGAAACCAATAAGTGGATGGATTTACTGTAGTATAACTGAACACCTCTGAGTATTTGTCCACACGGAGCTTGTTAAATTTGTGACTTACAAGTTAGAATATTCTTAATTGGTGGAAGAACCCAAGTCTTATAAGGAACCTAATGGCTAATTCTAAGTAAACCAAGTTTTAAAGACTTTTAAAAAAGTAATGCATCTAAAAAAAAAAAGAAAAACTACTAAGCTTAAAACATTTATTTGGCTACCATCAGTCAATGAAAAGCTGTAAGCTGATTTTGCTCAGTAAGGCTAATATATCACTTTAATTTTTTAAACTGGGAAAAGCTATCTTTTTGATTCTGAATGTTAAAACAGAAGTCAAAGCATTGTTAAAAGTAGTCCAACCAAAGCAGTCTTGAATTTGCTTGAACTAGTATGAAAAATGGTCAAGAGATCCATCGTGCTCAGTCAAAGACTCTTTATGTGACTGGCATCAATACAGCTGACAAATTTAAGGGATGTTCTCCCATCAGTACAAGGTTTCAGGCATTACAACCTTTCAATGCTCAGGGCACATCGCACTCACCTCTTTGTTTTGATCTGGACTGATTACTGTATTACTTTCTTTGTGCCTTTTGTTAACACCCTTAACAGAGCTGGACACCTTTGAGGGGCAGCATGGGGACAAATGAATATGTACATGTGGAGAGCAAGGGCTGCTGAGCTTCGGGTTAGAAACGTGACATGAAATTCCAGTGTTAGAGTAGGGCACCTCAAGGGAAAAACTCCTCTGTATGGCCCGATGACAGTGCTTTCTATCAGGACTGAGCTGATCTACGTCCGATGAACGGCCTTTATTGCTTTTCTCTGATGACTTTGTTGAGGAAAACAAACAAGCAGATGTACTGCGATAAAGTTTTTTGTAAGTGTCGTCTTTTTTTCCAGAGTTTTCAGCTCGGGAATGAGCTTCTTCAACTGCAGCCATTGTTGAGGCTCCCTTTTCAGGCATCAGTGGTCTCTGATGGGCAAAATGCAGCAGGATGCTGCTAGAGTGAAGATTAGATCTGTCGGGAGCCGATGACAGCTCCATCATTGTATTCCTGTCCTCTGTTTTGCATAATGGTTCATCCTGTAAAGGAATATTAAAGTGCACCATGTGTTTTGTATCCTTAAGCTCAGCTGAGTAGCTTCCTTTGGATTGATGGTGACCACTTACAGCAGTTGTGGTCACTCCCTCTTCTTCTTGTGGGAATTCCCTGGAAGCTGTCTGAAGATGAGACTGAGCAGATCCCCTTGGTGGTAGGTGAGCAAACAGAGAAACGGGACCTACTGGGGAGGCAGGTGGGGTGCTGCAAGGGCTCTTTGGAATTATAATCAAAGAGGAGCACCGTCTCAGCGGGACCTTGACCCTGTGACGAAGTGGAGTTCGCTCCTGGTTTGTCCTGTGCTTTTCTGGAAGCTCTGGCTCAAAGATGCTGTTGCTGCTACAGTACCCTGCATCACTGGCCATGCTGCTGTTGCAAGAGCCTCCGTCGGACCTGGAACCTGCTCCACTCTCACAAACAACAGCTGGGTCTCCATCCTCTATATTGCCATCAAGGTTTCCACAAGGCTGCAGCAAGATTTGCAAGACATTCTTCTTGTGACACCCTCCAGCGTTAACCCTGGGTATGAACACTGAAGAGCACTGACTGTTGGCAAAGTCTGGTGACAGAGGAGTCACCTTCAAGTGGACAGAACTCTGCGCCAGACTCTCTTCTGCGCCATGAGCTGACAAACTGGCTGCCCTCTCCTCACCGTGGCTGCTGAAACCTTCCGACAGGGGGTCCGTGTTGCTTCTTCTTGACGCAAAATGCATGCGGAGCTGACGTGCCATTTATTTAACTCTCTAATCCATGTGGGGCTGGTGAGAGGAGCATGATCAAACTTGCTGGCAGAAAAAAGAGCAAAAGCAACTGCTCCACACGCTGCTCTGTGATCACAATCATTAGTGGCTGTGCATTGCCAAAATAGCTCTGGTGACAAGCTACATTCCTTTCTAGGCTGATCTCAGCTTTTAGTCTGGGGTGGCCAGTGGTTCTGTTTAGAGATATGACCCAAACACATGACCTTTGAAACTAAAGTGTTAGCCCCTTTAAGGAATTAAACCTTAAACAGAAAACAAAACCTCACAAAAATTAAGACAGTTTCCATTGTTTTGATTCCTTACTATAACTAAATTAGGTACAGATTAATATTGGTCAACCTCACTTTCATTTACTCTCCTAGAAAGAAAGAAAAAATAAAGTAAAACAAGAACACGCTTGATCTTAGACTGAAGCTCTGGCAAAGCATTAAATCTGTGTTGGGACACTCTCCTGGGACTCCTGCTGCTGCTATACTACTAATGTTTCTGCTGCCCTGTGCCCCCGCAAATAGTTTTACCCTCTGCTATTGAATTACAGGAAATCAAAGAGGATGAATGTCAACAAAATTCTGCATCAAACTGAGGACTATGTTGCAAAATCAACCACATACAAACATTGTTTTTATAAAGAGCCATTGAATATATCACAAGGATCCAACTGAATGTCATGCAGAAGTCCTTAAAAACTGTAAAATGCTGGAAGAAAGTTTCTATCTAAACCCTTTCAGATGGGATCAAGTAATCCGATGCACACCATCTGTTTTACGAGGAAAAACACAAAATATAAAGAAGGAACGATGACACGACAGTGGTTATATGACACCTCATGTAACGGCCAGTGCTGCTCTTATTTCGTCTCGACGAATGTTGACGGACCATATTTATTAAGGACAACCTATTGTGAGCCCGGCTGACCTATTTCAGAGCATTACTCTGCTTCCAAATCAGTTTCAGTGGAATGTTTAATAGTAGGAGGCCCAGCCAGGACCAGGACATGACTCACTGCAGGACATTGTCACAGTGGGACTCATAACCTCTAATTTAACCAACCTAACAGACTGACGAAAAACCTTTGATTGGATATGAACCACTTTTCCAGTCAGTACAGGTAAGTGATTGTGAAGGTAATCTGACAGCCATAAAAATGATGGAGTCAAAATGCATATATAGTTTATCACATATTTATATTACAGGTCTCTCTTGTAAATGAGATTACAGGTCTCTCTTGTAAATAAGTCCCCATGGCTCAATGGGACTAAGCTGTTTAAATAAAGTTTGAATGAATAACAATATAGCAATAAGACAACAAAACCTTCTGTAATTAGGTCATGAGTTCTACATCAATGTGAACAAAAACACCAGTTTTATAAAAAATAAAAATTCAGAGAACAATTCTGTGGTGTAGTTAGTACAGGCTGAGTCAGTGTGGTGTGGTTTGAGAAAGGTCCATCAGCAGGTACAGAAGGAATGAGGTGGTCGAGTTACGAGTTTCTCAAATGTGTTTAATTACTTCTTGATATGGATTAATTCTAATTAATTAATTCATGAGTTCTAGAATTGCGCCGCTCAAGGTGGCTGCATGTTGGAGCAGCTCTGTTACTTTCATTCTGAGATTTTGCTTTTGGAAACTTTAATTCCTGTTTTTCTGGATGTAAATAACATTTTTTGGATGACTGTTTCCTCTGGTATCAGATGCTGTGCAGCTCGAAGGATTTTTACTGAAACTTTTTTAGTTTTGGACATTTGTTATGATGTGAAACCATGGCAACAAGGCAGTTTTCTACAACCAACAGCAGCTGATTAACATCTCAAAAGCTCAACTAATATCTCAACTACAGCCCCAAATCTCAAAAGAGTTGAAAGGATGTTCTGTGGATGCATTCTCATCTACCTGCCAGCTGTGCTCGAGTGCCTGGCCACTGAGAACCTGGAACTAGCAGGAAACACAGCTCATGACAGCGGAAGGACAGGATTGTCCCTTGGCACCTAAAGTTAGCTGTCCGCAGCGATGAGGAGCTCGGAAAACTGCTGGGAGGAGTGGCCATCGCTCTGGGAAGAGTTCTGCCCGGCATTCGGGCGGTCCTACAGCCCGGAGGAACCGAGCCTGGGTGGACGGATCAGACGGCTTCTGCGGCCAGTTTCTTAGGATCCACTGTGGGATGGACCTTTTACAAGATATCCTTCCTGTCTACAGCCATCAGCATCTATAACATCTCTTAATAAAACGAGGATAACGAGTTCCATCAACAAATAATTTCTCTTTGGGATTAATAAAGTATTTTTGAATTGAATTAATCAACCTCAAAATGACTCCAAAAAATCTGTTACCATTTGTCTAATCTGACTCATGATATCGAGAGGAAAACACAACGTAAACAAGCATCTGAAAAATAAAGAAAATATTCTGGGGGAACAAAGACAGGCATATGTTATAAATAGAATGGACAACGAGAAACTTGTTCGCAAAAAAAGAGCATCACAAAAATCCGTTTCATTTGAACCCTATTTTAATGTTTACATCAACTTTGTTCTATAATTTGATTGGAAAATTATCTGCAAGTTTCATTAACAATAATAAAAATTAAAAAAAATCAAGACTAGTTGCAAATCTTCATAAATCAACAAAATCTGAATTTAGTGTACAGAAGCGAGGAGGAAGATAAAAGTCCATTATCACTGCATGATTATTCTACATTTATAAATTTCTAAAAAATATATTTTCTTTTAAAAAGCTGCTTCTACTTTGAGTAAGATTATTCATTGGAACATTAATATTTAAATGTGTTTGTGGTTAATTATTTCTACCATGTTTGCTCTCAATAAATAAAATAAAATGAAATAAACCAGCCCTGTGATGGACTTGCAACCTGTCCAGGGTGTCCCCCACCTCTTGCACAGTGATGGCTGGACATGGGCACCAGTGACCCAAAAAGGAAGAAGCAGATAAAAAATAATGGATGGATGGATGGATGGATGGAAAATTAAATAAAAATATATACATAACACCAAAGGTAAAAATCAGATCTGTTTTTTTTAATCACTTAGTATTTATGAAGACAGTAAGAAATTGTCCAAATTAATGTATCATTAACCCTGATGCTTTAGTTTTTTTATTTAAAATTACCATAAATTAAATTTTCCCTTTTTTATCTGTTAAATGTTTACAGTTTTAATGTCACATCTGTTGTGGTGTTAATGGATTAAACAGGTAACCATAGCATCTTCTGCATACTACTGATGCATACAACAGCCTGACTGATATATCGGCAGGGCTGATATATCAGGTCGATATAGATGTTAGGGGACATATCGGTATCTGTGATAATTGTCCCATTATGCGCCAGTATAAATACTGGGAACAAGCCGTGTCCTTACTTGCAAAAACTGTAATTGTACAATGTATTCAGCAAAGGATGCATGAAGACTACTTTCAAGTCATGGCCGTTCACTTAAGTTTCACTTTCAGGGCAGCCGAAGCGGGGAGCAATACTGTGTGGCATATTTGGCTGAACAGAGCATGGTGAGTTTACTTTAACTGATCTGTAGAATAAATCATCAATCATAAATTATGTTCAATCCTTCAACCCACTTGTCATTAGCTATATGACTCTCAAGTTAGAAAGCTAATGTTTAGATAAACTAGCATAGGCTATTGACTTGTAGAGCTTTTTATACACAATAAATCTAACGGAGAGGATATCAGTGTTAGCAACGTTTTCTTTGTCATCCTCAATGAAATGCATTGTTTGTCTGAAATTTTTACTTCTCTGCAAAGAAAAATAAACTCAGCTGCAATCAATACTAATTAGACCTTCACCGTACGTGACTGTTTAAACAATGAACAGGGTGTTTCTTTGTTTAGTTTATATTTTTGTAACACACTTCATAACTTTATGGTGAATAGTGAAGGATAGAAAATGTGAGCACACATTAGGAAGACTGTTTCAAGACTTCAAGTGTTAAAACAAGTTTAAAAGTAGCTGTTTACTTAAGATTACTGGGGGTGGACAAAGCTAAAAAAAATTCAGCCAATATATTGGTTATTGGCATTAGCCTGTCCCTCCCAATATCGGTATCAACGATAGCCAAAATTTCCATATCGTGTGGGCTTGAATGCATACGCTCAGTTCATGCGGTCTCTGAAAGTGAAACTCGAGGTACTTCACAGAGGAACTCTTTGTAGGAAAATGAAAATCTTGATTAAAAAAAAAAAGAAAAGAAGATTTGTGACTTATGTTCTAAATAACCTATTTACTGCGAGTGTGAGACTGCTTCCAGTTGTTGAGGCTTAATGAATCTGGTGAAATAAAAACACAAAACGTTTAACCTGCTCAGCTGAAACAAAGCACGTGCGTTTTATAGCATCAACAAAATCACTCATGCAGGTCTTTCCATAATAAAAGCAAAATCTGGATTAACGGTTGTGCTACATTTAAACTCTTGTTTTTTTTTTTATCTGTTGTGCTACACAAATTTATAAAATGATACTATAAACAGCACTAGTTTAAAGGTTGGCAACAGTACTAATGAAAAGGAAAACAGAACCAACTGTATTTAAACTATGCTGCTGAAAAGACAAAAACCCACAAGTGCATTTTTCTTTTGGTGCAGTTCTTGGAATTTCTGAAGAGCAGTGGCATGTACTCAGAAACACATTCAAAGCACTGACACACCCTCCAAAGTACTATGAAATCCACCTGAAGCAAGACAGGGCAGACCTTAGTCAGTCACACCCAAGTTTATGTTATCATGTGACTGTACACATGTGATATGGTGAAACAGTCCAGAAACATTCTGTCAGTACACACACACAAAAGAGAATATCCCATGGTAACAGAAGAACAAAGATTATTTCCGCATGTTCTGTTTTACAACAAAACAATTGCCTTTATATGAACGCCCGAGTCAAACCTTGTGCCACAAATGCAAGAAATGTCAGAAAAACACAAAACAGAAAAATAAGAACGTGA